AAGGCTTTCTCCCCAGAGCATATTAATTTCGAAAAATAAAGGTGAAAAGACTTCACTGAGCAGGGAGGGAAGACACAGTCTTCCATAGAGCACCAGCCCAATCTCTTAGAACTATGTTACCCTAAATCGTGGAACGAGATAATTATAGATGGTGCAGGGACATTTGAAATGATGACCCCTGTGGCCAGAATGTTTTTCCCTTTTGTATTATGTTTCTGTCCTAATTAAGTCAAGGTGAAAGCCTCAGTAAATCTATAATACCTGATAATCTCCACTTGTGAGCGCATGCACGAGAGAGAGAGAGAGAGAGAGAGAGAGAGAGAGGGAGAGAACGCATGAAAGCCAGCTCCAGAGCAAGCCTCGGGGTCAGAGCCTTATAGGACAGAACCAAGCCACTCACATTGTTTTTGTTTTCCGTGAAACATATATTTAGGGTTACTCCTTTAAGACACAGGATTCTGATTCCCATCTACATAATTTTTTTTAAGTTTTCCTTTTGAAATAAATGTACCTGAGGGGGGTTAGTGAGTTGGTTTAGGAAAAAATATTAAGTAAAAAATGGTGCAGGAGATATGCAAGTGTGACAAGAATCATGGCACATAAAAGACTGAAACTTGGGAAACAGTGTCCTGAGAAAGCCTATGGCTGGTTAGGAAAGTAAACCCCAAATCAGAACAAATCTTTAATTATAATTAAAGAAGACTGCACTCTTCTGGAAGGACACAAAATCATGCAGTGACTAGGGTTTGGGGTTTTTTTTAATATTTTGTTTTATTTATTTATTATTTTATTTATTTATTTGACAGAGAGAGAGAGAGAGAGAGAAGAGCAGGGGGAGAGGGAGAAAGAGGCTCACTGTGGAGCAGAGAGCCCGACGCAGGACTGGATCCCAAGATACTGAGATCATGACCGGAGCCCAACCGACTGAGCCACCCAGGCGCCCCGTAAAAAATATTTTATTTTTAAGTAATCTCTACACCCAACATGGGGCTCGAACACACAAACCCCAAATCAAGAGTCACATGCTCCACTGACAGAGCCAGGCAGGCGCCCCTTGCGGTGATTATGCTTTTGAGCAATTACGAATGAGGGTGAATTTGGGTTTGAATAGTGTAGGTTTGGGGCTGAGGGCTTAGGCAGGAGTGGGGAATGATGGAGCTGAGCATATGGGAAGGAAAATTCTCCCTTCCTGTCAAAAGCCCCAAGTGCCCCTGGGGAAGGAATTTTTCCTTCAACCACAGCAAAAGGTACCTGAGGTAACTCCAAAGAGCAGCATTTTGCCGCTTGTTTCTGCAATCAGCGAGGAAATAAAGTCTTCAAATTAAACTTTTCCAGAAAAAAATGTATTCGAGGGAGGAAAAGTAAGGGACAGATGGATATAACTGTATGAGAGATTGCTGTGAGTCTAAGAAGGTGGTGGCTTCCCGGTGGGTAAGTGGTTCTTCTAGGAACCCAAAGCCCTGGACCCCAGTAATGGGAACAGCCATGCCTTCCAGTAGGTGCCTCCTCCCCAGCGGGTGAAGAGTGTGTGTGAGGCAGAGGGGAAGAGAGAGGGAGAGATAGACAGAAGTGGCTGTTGTCACTGACATTACTCCCTTCTCCCTGACCCCCAGAAAAAAAGCACTTCACAGAGACAAGCCTCCAAGAAAACAAGGGTTTTTGAGAGGAACGTCGGCAGAGGAGGTGAGAAGCTGCCCCAGGAGTCCTCAGTGCTCTCCCCATGAGCTTTTGCCTCTCCATGGGACGTCTTTCCAGCCTGATCCGTGTGGATGATTCCTTCCCCCACATAGTATAGATCCAAGTGAGAGGTCCTTCACCCACTGGCATTCCAGCTTCGTTAGTTCTTTCTTCTTCTTCTTCTTCTTTTTTTTTTAAGATTTATTTATTTGACAGAGAGAGACATAGCGAGAGAGGAAACACAAGCAGGGGGAGTGAGAGAGGGAGAAGCAGGCTCCCCGCTGAGCAGGGAGCCCAATGTGGGGCTCGATCCCAGGACCCCCAGACCATGACCTGAGCCGAAGGCAGACGTTTAACAACTGAGCCACCCAGGCACCCCTCAGCTTCGTTATTTCTATTCTGGAGGATTTTTGTTTTGTTCTGTTTGAGGAAGGGTACCACTTTGCACAGTGTCCCAGAAAGCTGATTGCTGACCAAAAACTCAAGACAAAAGCAAAGAAGCAGAGGGCTAACCTTCATTCTCTACCTTTCTGATTCTTATGCTTCCACTCTAGTTTGGGAAAATCATGTGACCAGGCAACAAACTCCGTGCTCAAAGAGGCCCCATTATCCAAACCACCAGACGGGATGGTATTTAACCAAAGCACCGCAAGACGCTAAAAACCCTGGCCTCTGAATTCTCAGTCTTAGTACTTTTAAAGGGCGAACACCAAGGTGACCCTGGGTGAGAAGATAAAAGCTCCACGATGCAGCAAGTGAGAACTAAGAGCCCTTTAACGGTCAACTGGCACAAAGAGAGAGGTCTTGTCCTTACTCAGACAACCCAAGACCACTCTACTAACCGAGGACCGCCACCACCACCAGGCAGAAAAAAACAGTACCTCGTGGTTCTAGGGATAGCTGTGTCCCATCAGAGTGGAAGGCCAGGTCCTGGCTCAGCACAGGACCTTATCAGAGGGTATTAAGGTTAGAGACTCGAGAAGTGGGGGGAAAGTGGGCCTGGTCCCTGCTCTGCCAGCTGACCAGCCCTGGACAAACCGCTAACCCCGTCTGGAACCCTGCTTCCTGGTGTGTTACATCATGTACGGTGGTCGTGAGGCTAGAGAGCAAATTAATAGAACATGTGGAGGAATTTGGCTTGGCCCTGTTTTTGAGGACATGTATATAAATTAGATGTGAATCTCAAGATGTTAGAGGCCAAGGTGCACTGGAGGCTGACATAACTCTGTCATTGCTGTGGTTACAATTGTCCTGGCATTTTCCCAGTTCCCTTACCTATTACTTTAATTCTTTCAGCAACACTTTGAGGAAGCTAAGGAAGGGTAAATAAGGGGCACCTGGGTGGCTCAGTTGCTTAAGCGACTGCCTTCGGCTCAGGTCATGATCCTGGAGTCCCGGGAGGGAGTCCTGCATCGGGCTCCCTGCTCGGCAGGGAGTCTGCTTCTCCTTCTGACCCTCCCCCCACTCATGTGCTCTCTCTCGCTCTCTCTCTCTCTCTCAAATAAATAAAATCTTTAAAAAAAAGTTAAAAAAAAGGAAGGGCAAATAATAATTATTTCCATCTTACAAGGGAAAGGAGGGCAAAGAGGTAAATGTACTGCCAAGGGTTGTCTGGCTGGTTTGGGCCGCAACGCTTTCTGCTCAACCCAGCCCCACAGCCCAAATGTGAATTTCCACGTCTTCAAAACAGGTGCCAATCCAGCCTGGGGTCCTATGGATGAATTGCAAGCAGAGGAGAGGGAGAGGGAGATGTGTAGATTAGGAGACCTACAAGACACATTGACAGCTAATGGGTATGAGGGATCTTTCTGGGGGTGATGAAAATGTTCTAAAATTAGAATACAGTGAGGGTTTCACAACTCCATACTAAACATTGTTTTGTACACTTCAGTTTTTATGTTTTTAAAGATTGATTTATTTAAGTAATCTCTACGCCCACCGTGGGGCTTGAACTCACGACCCTGAGATCAAGAGTTGCACACTCTACTGACTGAGTCAGCCAGGTGCCCCAATCTGTACACTTACTTTATTTATTTATTTATTTATTTATTTATTTATAAAGATTATTTTTTAAAAGATCATTTATTTATTTATTTGAGAGAGAGAGAGAGCGCACAAGCAGGGAAATGGCAGGCAGAGGCAGAGGGAGAAGCAGGCTCCCTGCTGGCAGAGAGCCTGAAGCAGGGCTCGATCCCAGGACCCTGGGATCATGACCTGAGCTGAAATCAAGAGTCGCTTGCTCAACCAACTAAGCCTCCCAGGCGTTCCCCGATCCGTACACCTTAAATAGGTGAATTTTATAGTATGTACCTTATATCTCAACAAAGCAGTTAAGAAAAAGACATATACTTTTTTTTTTTTTTTTTACACGGGTAAGACTCTTGTGGCTAGGGGTGCATATTTGGGTGCTAAAACTCTAAAGAGATTCAAGGAAGTGATTACTGTAAAAGTCAGATTCCTTTCAGGTAGAAGCAGGGTCGTGTGATTGAGACAAGGCCTATGAAGGAACTTCTTGGGGGGGGGATAGGAAGGTTTTATTTCTTGACCCAAAGGTAGTTAATAAGGGTGTTTATAATAATTCATTATTTATATTCCACATATGTTTTATGGAGTTTTCTGTATCTGTTCTGTCATGTAATAAAATGGTTTTTAAAAACAGGGGAAATCGAGTATGAAATGACACCCAGTGCTGGCCAGACTGTAAGGGGCCCCCATACCCCGCCACCTCCTGGTATTCCTGCTCTTCCCTAATCCTTTCCCATGCAGTAAGCGTGAGCAGGACCTGTGGCATGTTTCTAACCCACAGAATAAGGCAAAGGCCACAGGATGTATGTGATTATGTTTGTGTGATTACATCATATAAGATCTAATGTCCACTTGGCTAGGAAACTGCCTCTTCCTCATTGGCTTTGAGGAAGTAAGCAGCTACGTTCCAGAGGCCCATGGGGTAAGGAACCGAGGGTGGCCCGCAGACAATAGCCAGCAAGAAACCGAGGCCCTCCGTCTGACAACCCACGGGGAACTGAATGCCGCCAACAACCATGTGAGTTTGGAAGATCCTTGCCCAGGTGAGCTTCAGATGCCACCATGGCCCCAGGTCACCCTTTGACTGCAGCTGGTGAGGCTAGTCGTCGAACTGTGCCCTAACGCCTGGTGCACAGAAACTGAGCTAATAACCGAGCGCTGTTTGAAACCACTGCATTCGTGGTGGTATTATTCCACAGCAATGGATAACCTGCCCCCGTGTTGGGGGGGGAGGGTCCCTAAAACCACTCCCAGGTTCAGTGATTCACTAAAAGGACCCAGAGAACTCAACAAAGTGATTGTAGTCTTGGTTACAATTTATTACAGTGAAACGATAGATTAAAATCTGCAGGAGAAAAAGGCACATGGGACACAGGCCAAAGAGACACCAACTCTCCTTCCCCATGGAGTCACAAGAACAGTATTAATTCTCCTAGCGACAATGTGTGACAATGTACAAGGAGACTGCCAACCAGGGAAGCTCCCCCAAGGTCTGGTGCCCAGGCTTTTCCTGGGGGTCGGCCACATGGGCAGGCCTTAGTCTCCAGTCCCTCCAGAGGTCAAGCTGATACCTCCTGGCCCAAGACCCTCGGGAAACAAACACTCTTATCAGGCAGGATACCCCAAGGGCTTAGGGGTTGCCTCCCAAGAACTAGTCAAGGGCCCACGCTCTCTTGGGAATGTGCAGTCTGCCCACCCGAAGCCTGCAGTTAGCCCTTTACAGCGCACCCATTAACTCTGGAAGTGGGACTCTTGTCGAGGTACCACCGGCTTGAAAGCAGAGGGAAAGGACAGGAAACCACTGGGTTTCTGACACCCAGGGAAACTTTACACCCTTATCGGCCTTATAGTCAGAGAGTTTCCAGGATTTAAGCCATAGAGCCAGAAGGCAGGGTGCAGAGGAGAGGAGGCTGAGACTGGGCACTCATACAGAAGCGTCTCCTGATCAGCCACTGAATAGAAGGCAAGGTTCCCCTCCTGCAGGTCCAGCCAGATGCCCACCACCTTCGGTCTGTCAGAGCCAAGGACAGTCTCCTTGACCATGTGCCATGCAGAGAGCTGGCTAGTCCCCTTCCACTCTACACAGTAGGAGTCCTGGGTCCTTCCCAGGATCTGGGTCCGTTTCATCCCCCAGGAAGCCACCCCAACTGCCCAGTGGCTGCAATGCTGAGTGTCCACTTCCCAGTACTGCTGCCCAGAAGAAAAGGCCTGGGAACATAAGGCCTGGCAGGTCACAAACCTCTCATGACCCCCGAGATGGGTCTGTGGATGGCGAGACACAGTCACTGCCCGGCCATCCTTGGACACCTCCAGGCTACAGGAGTGGCTGCGAAGGTCGAAGGTCGGACTGATGGCCCCTGAGGAAAAGAGCAAGGATATGACTGGCTCGCTCTAATAGCAAAAAGCAGCTTTGGGATGTTTTTGTTTTTAAAGATTTTATTTATTTATTTATTTGAGAGAGCGAGCAAGAGTGAGAGCATGAAGGGAGGCAGGGGGAGGGGTAGAGGGAGAAGGGAAGTAGACTCCCTGCTGGGCAGGTAACCCAATGCTCAGGACCCTGGGATCATGACCCAAACGGAAGGTAGACACCTAACTGACTGAGCCACCCAGGCGCCCCGCAAAAAGCAGCTTCGTACCTTTGGGTGTGATAAAGTTTTGTTCATACTGGCATTAAAACAGGTACATCAACTTGCAGTTTTCTGTATACACATCCCTAGTATTGTTCTAATCACAATACCCTTTTTCCATCTTAATTTTTACTTCCCCATTGGGCCTCTTTCAGGTAGCTGTCTCTGAATCCCACTCAGCATAGCCTGGAATTTGGGAGTCTTCAATCCCATTTGTCTTTGTAATCAGATCCCCTTGTGAGCCAAGGAGAGACCCAGCAGCCGCAGAAAGGCGGACCCCGCTGGCCAAATCCAAGTGTTCAGCCACCCGCATACTTACACTGAGCAAACCGGGAGGTGCTCTTGGGGGCTGGGTGGCTCTGGTCAGGCAGCGGACATGAAGAGGAATAGGGAGCTTCTTGGACTTCTGCTAAGGATTTCAGAAAATCGGGAAGGGGAAAAGGTGTCATCAAAAATAAATAAATAAACAAACAAACAAATAAAAGGCAAATACAAGGTATCCAAACATCGTGATCAGGGCACACGGCTTGTCTGCTTCATCACATTTCCTCACACATTTTTTTAGTGTCAGACTTGGATCAGGCAGAACATCCAACTCAAGTATGTGCAGCCCCATGTTCTCACCGTGGACTTTTTTTTACTGCGTGTTCCCCCCCTCCACCCGTAAGCTCTAAGCTCCTTGCTGGTAGAGACCTTGTTCATCTTTATGTTCTAAGCACCAAGCGTAGTACCAGCTATATAGGAAGTAAGTGTTATGTGCATATCTAACAAATAAATTATAGGTCTAGGAGATCACAGCATCCCAACACCCAAAATATCCATGACACTCCCCCCCATCAGTGCCTTAAACTGTTACTTGCATAAGTAAATTCTGAATGGGCACTTAAGAAACTAATACAAGCGGTTAACAGAGGCAGAGCAATAGGAAAATTGAATGAGGGTGGGAAAGAGACCTTCACTGTACGCTTTTATACTGTTTTGATTTCTGAATTTAAAATTTTAATTTTTTTAATTTCTCACAAGCTTTTCGCATTTTTTTTAAAGATTTTATTTATTTATTTGAGAGAGAGAGAGACAGAAATAGTGACAGAGAGCATGAGTGGGGAGGAGAGGGAGAAGCCGACTCCCTGCTTCTCAGGGAGCCTGACTCGGGGCTCGATCCCAGGACCCAGGGATCACGACCTGAGCCAAAGGCAGACGCCAACTGCCTGAGCCACCCAGGCACCCCTGAATTTCAAATTTCAGGGGCGCCTGGGTGGCTCATTGTTAAGCATCTGCCTTGGGCTCAGGTCATGATCCCGGGGTCCTGGGATCGAGCCCCGCATCGGGCTCCCTGCTTCTCGCTCTCCCACTCCCCCTGCTTGTGTTCCCTCTCTGGCTGTGTCTCTCTCTGTCAAATAACTAAATACAATCTTTTAAAAAAAATAAAATAAAAATTTTAATTTAACCCCAAAATCTTAAAACTGATTTTATTTATTTAAAGATTTTGTTTTTAAATAATTTCTACACCCAATATGGGGCTTGAACTCACAACCCTGAGATCAAGAGTCGCATGCTCCACCAACAGAGCCAGCCAGGAGCCCCTAAATATTGATTTTAAATTTGTTTAAGTAAATAAGATCACTAAGGAACCCAATCTAAATTTAGTGGGACACAGGAGCTAAGGGGGCACTTATTAGTTTTTGGAACAACTGATAAAGTGTGCTCTAACTTGTTTCCTTGAGTTTTTCCCAAGGGATCAGGTTTCTCCACCTAAATAAAAAATAACTTTTTAAGCAGAGCAAGATCATTTATTTATTTACTTATTTTTAAAGATTTTACTTATTTATTTGACAGAGAGACAGAGACAGCGAGAGAGGGAACATAAGCAGGGGGAGTGGGAGAGGGAGAAGCAGGCTTCCTGCCGAGCAGGGAGCCCGATGTGGGTCTCGATCCCAGGACCCTGGGATCATGACCTGAGCCGAAGGCAGACGCTTAACAACTGAGCCACCCAGGCGCCCCGAGCAAGATCATTTAAACACAAAAAGTTATAAGAGATATGTCTCTAAAGTATATAAAGTTGGCAGCGGTGAGAGCAGGAGGCAGAACGGAGGGAGCCCAGAGCTCGCGTCTAAGAGGCAGGTGTGAATTGTTCTTCAGTGGTGACAAGCGTTACAATGGAGAACCTCCAAAGTCAGGACAGAGAGGTTCTTTTCTGCATTGTTATTGTTTACTATTAGCATACTCACCAGAGATGATATTTTAATTAAACTTATCAAGGACAATTTACAAAGTCGCATGCTTTGTTAACAAAGACATTTAATAAACATAAAAAGCAGCCTGTTTCTGAATCTCCTCAGGTGGATAACACAGGCGAGCAGCAAAATGAGATCTAGGTTCTGGATGTAAAGGTCTTAGAAAATGAGTTTCTATCTTTTAAAGGCCTAGGTGACATCATACCTCCAGCCATATCCAAAACACATATCCAGCCACAAAAACACCTCCGCCCACCCCTTCCTCATTTACAACAGCACAGGGATAACACAGCTGGGCTCTGGGACCCTATCCCCAAAAAACAAAGCTATTTGTCACTGTTTTTGTCATTTCCCCCAACTTCCATATTTAATCCTCTTTCACCCAATAAAATCAACTCACCCTGCGGCTGTTCTTCAAAGGCCTCCTTCCACGTGAAGTTTTCCCGTAATTTCTTCTGGATTTCTTCTAGGTCATGCAGAATGTCTCTCATTTTTCTCTCGGGTGTGTTGGAAGTCACTGGCTTTGAAGAAGCCAAGGAAAGGTCCACCCCACCAGAAGAAGACTATTGATGGATCATCAAAAACAAATTAAATAAGTGAAGTTTCCTAAGGTGTGCAGCAAATAGTATATTCTAATTCTGCCATCTATCATTTTCTACTTGCCTCCTCACAGATTTTTAAAAACATAATTAGGTCCCTCAAACTACATGCCTTGAAAGCAATTTGGAAGAACACACAGTGCAGCAAAAATATTAAAGTGTGGTTATTTCTGGGTGGTAGGGTTACAGATAATGTTCCTTTGTTTTCTTTAAACTGCTATGCATTTTCAGGGCACCTGGATGGCTCAGCTGTGAAGTGTCTGCCTTCAGCTCGGGTCATGATCTCAGGGTCCTGGGATCAAGTCCCGCATCGGGCTCCCTGCTCGGCGGGAAGCCTGCTTCTCCCTCTCCCACTCCCCCTGCTTGTGTTCCCTTTCTCGCTATATCTCTCTCTGTCAAATACATAATCTTAAAAAAAATTTTTTTTAAAAACCTGCTATGCATTTTCTAGTATTATGTACAATAAATGTGGATTTCTTAGGTAATACCCAAAAAGTAGTAAAATTTGTAAGCCCATCCTCTAGGGGCTTTACAAAATAAATAATACAATAGTGACAATAGTCACCAAGATCAGCCACAGAGGCCATAATAATCTTCCCCAGAAGGCTATCATTCTATCACCTCTCCTCTCAAGAACCAGGGTAGACATGTGGCTGGGCATCCAGGCCCTCCCAGCTCTCTGGGGCCGCCAGCACATGCTCCCTGACTTTCTTTAACCTTGGGTCCTGTAATTCCCCAACACAGCCTCTCATCTCCTCCCACCTTGCCACCTTTGGCCTCTGATGTTCCTTCCCAACTTTGCATACTCTTATTTTCCACTCTTCTTACCAACTGTAAAGTAGCAGGCACCATGGACTGAGCACTTCACGTGGCTTACTTCTAATTTGTGTAACAACCTTCCAAGGTAGGTTGGTTATCCCCCTTTTACAAAACAAGTTATAGCTCACGGAGGTGAACTAAATCACCACAGTGAATTTTATCGTCCTGCATTTTCCCACCACTTGAGCGCTTATTTTTTTTTTTAATTTAAAAGAATTTTTTTTGAAGATTTTATTTATTTATTTGAAAGAGAGAGCAAGAGAGAGAGAGAGAGAGCACAATGGTGGGGAGGGGCAGAGGGAGAGGGAGAAGCAGGCTCCCCACCAAGCAAGGAGCCCAACACAGGACTCGATCCCAGCACCCTGGGATCACGACCCGAGCCGAAGGCAGACGCCCAACCGACTGAGCCACCCAGGCGCCCCTCGAGCACTTATTTAGACCAGAGCTTCTTTAGTTCTTACATCAAACCAATGCAATGTCAAGTGTGCAAGTCAGACTCTCAGGCTTTCCTCCCCCCAACACCTTGCAGCCCTGAAGACCCCCGAGTATTTGCTGAGCACTTACTATGCAGCAAGCACCTTGCTAAGCTTGGGGATACAAGAGTGAACAAAAGCCATCAGGGTCTCTACCCTAATGAAGCTTAGAGTCCAGGGCAGGGGAGGAGGGAAAACAGACATGAATAAATTATGGCACCCATCATTATCAAGATGCAATTTGTGGTAACTGCTGCAAATGAAATCGTAAAAGCCTCTAACAGGGAGACTTGTTCGAGGAAATCAGTGAAGGTTTCTCCAGGAAAGTGATGATCTAGCCAGGGTCTGAAGGATGAGAGGTGTTATCTAGGTGGCAGGGCGATAGAACATTCCACGGAGTGCAAACCCTGCGGTGGGAAGACGTATGACACCCTGGGGGACTGATAGGGGCCAGAGTGGCTGAAGCTTGAAGAGCCCGGGGAGTCTTGGGGGAGGGGAGCCCGCTGGAAGGAGACAGGACAGGCAGACAGGGAAGGAGTCCTGCAGCGCCCTGTTCGTTCTGTGAGGACAGCCAGGATCTGGGTCTTAATCCCACACAAGCAGATGTCACTGGAGATGTTGTAAATCAGATTTGTGTTTGAGAGGATCACTCTGACAACCATGAGGAGAGCAGACCCAGCAGGAATAGAGTGGGGTAAATAATTATTGCAGCAATCCAGGCAAGAAATGATCAGAGGCTTGGGGCGTCTGGGTGGCTCAGTCGCTTGTGTCTGCCTTCGCCTCAGGTCATGATCTCAGGGTCCTGGGATGGAGCCCCGCATTGGGCTCCCTGCTCAGTAGGGAGTCTGCTTCTCCCTCTGCCACCTCCCACCCCCAGCTTGTGCTCTCTCTCCCATTCACTCTCTCTCTCAAATAAATAAAAAAAAGATTTTATTTATTTATTTGACAGAGAGACACAGCGAGAGAGGGAACACAAGCAGGGGGAGTGGGAGAGGGAGAAGCAGGCTTCCCGCCGAGCAGGGAGCCCGATGTGGGGCTCGATCCCAGGGCTCTGGGATCATGACCTGAGCCGAAGGCAGATACTTAACGACTGAGCCACGCAGGCGCCCCAGATAAAATCTTTAAAAAAAAAAAAAAGAAAGAAATGATCAGAGGCTTGGATCAGAGACATCTCCAAGGAGCTGAAGAGTAGTAAATAGGCTCTGGGGATGTTTAGGCCGGTGAGGGAGGGGTGACATGATCCCCAGGTTCCTGGCTTGTGCCCTTAGAAGGATCATAGGGCCAGTCACCGAGATGGGGACTCCCAGAGGAGAAACAGTTTGGGATATTCTAAATGGGATGTGCCTTTGAGATACACGGAGGAAAAGGTAAGAAGGAAGACAGCAGACCACAGCTCAGAGAGGGGTCCAGGCTGGAGCCATGTTTGCGCATAGGGTGGTAATTAAAGCCATGGTGTGGGGAAGACCACTCAGTGGGGAAGAAAAAGGGATGTACCCCTCAGCCTTAAGGAATTTGGGCATTTCGTTGCTGAGGAGAGGAAAAGAGAGTGAGCCTGCAAGACAGCTGGGGAAGGAGCAGCCATAGAGAAACAGGGGAAGGTCAGAAGACCCCTGTCCCAGAAGCTAAGGGAAAAGAAAGCTTCAGGAATGAAGGTGTGGTCAAAGGCTGCTGAAAGGTCAATGAAGATGGGGACTAGACTGTCTGCAGGATTTGCATAGAGGTCCCTGGAGATCTCAGAGCTGGTTAGGTGCAGAGGTAAGGATAGAATCTAGCCCACCTGAAGCCCCCCCTACCTCACCTCAAGCTTTGCACACTTCTGGTCATCCATGTGTGACAGTAAGAAGATGGTAAAAGATGAAGACTTATTGCATCCTTCAACTCCCAACATAGTCCTGTGGCTCCAGCTGGAAGCTGTCCCTAGCCCCGCCCCCAGCACACGCTTTCCCCTCTGGGCTGAGCCTACCATGCTCATGCTCGGGGTGCTCCCTTCATTGTCTGGTCCGGATTCGGGGAGGTGCCTCTGACTCTGAAGACTCCTGACAATGTCTACGAGCTGTTCCACCAACTCCGCCAGCTCACGCCCAACTTCTGGGATGCTCTTCTGTGCCGCTGCCTTTAAAAGAACAAAGCAGAACCCAAAGCTGGACCCAGGACCCAGTTCTAGACAGAGGGAGCTGTAAACACTGCACAGGGCGCCTGGGTGGCTCAGTTGGTTAAGCAACTGCCTTCGGCTCAGGTCATGATCCTGGAGTCCCGGGATCAAGTCCCACATCAGGCTCCCTGCCCGGCAGGGAGCCTGCTTCTCCCTCTGACCCTCTTCCCTCTCACCCCGCCTGGCCTTCATTCTCCCTCTCTCAAAAAAAAAAAAAAAAAATTTAAAAAAAAAAAAAAAACAGCACAAAGGAAGCAGGCAACAGAGTGACAAAAATGTCCGGAGGACAAGGAGGTAGATGGCCCAGACCTTTTGCATGCCTACTGCTTGTCCAGTGGCCATAACAGGGAACCAGAGCCCATCCCCAGCCTGGGGGGATGGGGTGTGAGAGTGAAGCCTAAAGGGACGTGCGGGCTCATCATTCTGAACAGAGGTCAGAGCAGAGACGCTGAGAGCCTGGCAGGGTGGGTGCAGCTGGTAAGGTGAGTGGAGCAGTGGACGGCATTCAGCTGGAGAGGCTGAAGATCCACTCTCATCAGAGTCATCCTGTGTCCTCACCACTCCTTTCAAATTGAAAGTGACCCTCCCTCTTTCTCCTCTTCAACAATGCAGACACTCTACCGGTTCACTGTGCAGGGATCTTGGAGACTTTATTCTTTTTTAAGATTTTATTTATTTATTTGCAAGAGAGAGAAAATGAGAGAGAGCGTGAGCAGGGGAAGGGTCAGAGGGAGAGAGAGAACCCCAAGCAGACTCCCCACTGAGTGTGAAGCTCAACGTGGGGCTCGATCGCAGGACCAAGGCAGATGCTCAACCCACTGAGCCACCCAGGCACCCCAGATGTTGGAAATTTTAAAGTGATGCACAGAAACAAGCTCCTTTTATTTGATTATTGACATGCTCCAGATTTAGTTTTTACTTTTTAAAAGACTTTATTTTGGGGATGCCTGGGTGGCTCAGTCAGTTAAGCGGCTGCCTTCGGCTCAGGTCATGATCCCAGGGTCCTGGGATCGAGTCCCACATTGGGCTCCTTGCTCAGCGGGGAGCCTGCTTCTCCCTCTGCTGCTTTTCCTGCTTGTGCTCTGTCTCGCTATGTCAAATAAATAAATAAAATCTTTAAAAAAAAAAGACTTTATTATTTAAGTAATCTCTACACCCAACATGAGGCTCAAACTCATAACCCTGAGATTAGGAGTTGCGTGGTCTTCCGACTGAGCCAGCCAGGCCCCCTGACATCCTGTCCATTTAAAGCGACACTCAGATTAGAGGGCGCTAAATAACCCCACTTAAAGACCTTGATCTGCTCAGCTGCCTGGCTGGGAGTGGAAGTTCTGCAGCCAACATTCTGGCAACAACTTCCAGATCTGGTGGCACTCATCAGAGGCAGGCAGGGCACAGACTTCAATGGTGAACATTGCATTACCTCCAAAAGGGGTCCTATATAGAGTTACAGAAATACAATGTGTTCATTATCCAACTGTCAATAAACCAGAGTTTTAATAACTTTGTTTTAACATACCACATTTTTTAAATCATGCTAGGACCTCAAAAACTGGAAATGACCCAGGACCTTCTGCAACTCTAAGAAGCCTGATGTCCCTCAAAATAGTATGTGTTTTGGAAGCCATAATCAGACTACTTTAGAGAGGGAGGTAGCCGACCACTGGTAACACCATTTGCTCTTAAATTTCCAGGCCCCACTCCTAAATATTCAGGTGGCTGGAACTGAAAAGAGGAGAGTGCCTTATCTAGGCACTGGAGCAAATTAAAAACTTTAAAATAAAAAGTATATTGTTTTTTCTATTCATAAAAGAAATGCACACTCACTGCAGTGAATTTAGAAAATGCAAAGCATGAGGGGCACCCGGGTGGCTCAGTTGGTTAAGCATCTAATTTCAGCTCAGGTCATGATGTCAGGGTCCTGGGACTGAGCCCCACGCCAGGCTCCCTGCTGAATGGTGGGGGGGGGACCTGCTTGTCCCTCTCCCTCTGCTACTCCACCTGCTTATTCTTTCTCTCTCAAATAAATAAATAAAATCTAAAAAAAAAAATGCAAAGCATGAGAAAGAGGGAATGTTTTAAATCATCCAATATTCTACCATCCAAAAATAATCATTCTTCCTTAACAGCCAATGGTAAGTATATTCAGTTACCATAAGCAACATTAGCAAACAGTTTTAAAGACCTGAGGGATAATGCTGTATTTATAATAAAAAAGAAAACAAATTTTAATCATAATCACACACAAAAAATGGAAGCAACCAATATGTCCCATCAGAAAGTGAATGGATAGATTGTGGTACATTTATGTAATGGAATATCATTCAGGAATAAAAAGAAGTGAGTTATCAAGCCACAAACCATAATTTTGCTTAGTGAAAGAAGTCTATCTGGAAAGGCCAGAAGTTGAATGATTCTAACTATATGACATCCTGGAAAAAGCAAAACTAAAGAGACAGTAAAAAGATCCACAGTTGCCAGGTGTTGGGGTGAAGGTACAAAGAGGTGGAGCACAGGGGATTTTCAGGGCAGTAAAACTGTATGACACCATAACTGTAGCTACGTGATATCATGCATTTGTCAAAACCTATAGAACTGTACAGCACAGAGTGAGCCCTAATATCAACTGTGGGTTTTAGTTTCAATTGGCAATAATTACGCCTTGGATAAACCTCATTGGCTACGATACTGCCACCGCGCAAAGCTCAACTCTAGATTCTAGTGAATAACGTATTAATGTTGATTCATCAATTGCAACAAATGTACCACACTAATGCAAATGTTAATAATAGGGCAAACTATGAAGGGCAAATGGGGACTTGCCATACTATCTGCTCAATTTTCTGTAAACTTAGAACTGCTCTAAAATGCTTCTCCCTCTCCTGCTTTTGTTCCCTCTCTCACTGTCTCTGTCAAATAAATAAAAAATCTTTAAAAAAACTGCTCTAAAAAATAAACTCTTATTAATTAATTAAAATTTTAAAAAAGAGGATATAACCTGGTTATACAATGTGGCCTCAACTCTGTTTAAAAATATTATAGGGGGGATGTGTGGGTGGCTCAGTCGGTTAAGCATCTGCCTTTGCCTCAGGTCATGATCTCAGGGTCCTGGGATTGAGTCCTGCATCAGGCTCCCTGCTCAGCGGGGAGCCTGCTTCTCCCTCTGCCTCTGCCGCTCCCCCTGCTTGTGCCCTCTCTCTCTCTCTCTCTCTCTCTCTGATAAATAAATAAATAAATCTTTTAAAAAAAGAAGAAAGATGTCAAATCAATCACCTAAATTTATACCTCAAGGAACTAGGGAAAAAAGGGCAAACCAAACCCAAAGCTAACAGAAGGAAGGAAATAATAAAGATTATTGGAGATAAATAAAATGGAGAATGTAAAAACAATAGAGAGAATCAATGAAACAAGGGTTGGTTCTTTGAAAAAAATCAACGAACTGATGAATCTTTAGCTAGACTGATAAAGAAAAAGAGAGAGGATGGAAATGCAAGCTGGTGCAGCCACTCTGGAAAACAGTATGGAGGTTCCTCAAAAAGTTGAAAATAGGGGCACCTGGGTGGCTCAGTCGTTAAGCGTCTGCCTTCGGCGCGGGTCATGATCCCAGGGTCCTGAGATCAAGCCCCGCCTCGGTCTCCCTGCTCCGCAGGAAGCCTGCTTCTCCCTCTCCCACTCTCCCTGCTTGTGTTCCCTCTCTTGCTGTGTCTCTCTCCGTCAAATAAATAAAATCTTAAAAAAAAAAAAAGAGTTGAAAATAGAGCTACCCTACGATCCAGCAATTGCAGTACTAGGTATTTACCCCAAAGATACAAATGTAGTGATCCGAAGGGGCACCTGCACCCCAATGTTTATAGCAGCAATGTCCACAATAGCCAAACTATGGAAAGAGCCCAGATGTCCATTGACAGATGAATGGATAAAGATGTGGTGTGTGTATATATACAATGCAATATTACAACAGCCATCAAAAAAAAATGAAATCTTGCCATTTGCAATGATGTGGATGAACTAGAGGGTATTATGCTAAGCGAAATAAGTCAATCAGAGTAAGACAATTATCATATGATCTCAATGATATGCAGAATTTAAGAAACAAGGCAGAGGATCATAAGGGAAGAGAGGAAAAAAATGAAATGGGACAAAACCGGAGAGACAAACGATATGAGAATCTTAATCTTAGGAAACAAACTGAGGGTTGCTGGGCGGGGGGAAGGGGATGGGAGGATGGGGGTGGCTGGGTGATGGATACTGGGGAGGGTATGTGTTGTGGTGAGCACTGGGTGTTGTGTAAGACCGATGAATCACTTGGGGTGCCTGGGTGGCTCAGTTGTAAGTGTCTGCCTTCGGCTCAGGTCATGATCCCGGGGTCCTGGGATCGAGCCCCACATCAGGCTCTCTGTTCAGTGGGAAGCCTGTTTCTCCCTCTCCCACTCCCCCTGCTTGTGTTCCCTCTCTTGCTGTCTCTCTCTCTGTCAAACAAATAAATAAAATCTTAAAAAAAAAAGACTGATGAATCACAGACCTATACCCCTGAAACAAATAATACATTATATGTTAATTAAAAAAAGAAGAAATGGGAAAAAAGAGAGAAGACATGAATAACTAAAATCAGAAAGAAAGTAAAGTGGAGACATTACTACTGACCTTACAGAATAAAATTTAAGAGATTATGAACTTTGTATGCCAGCGCATTAGATAACTTACATGAAATGGATAAATTCCTAGAAACACAAATTACCTAAACTGACTCAAAAAGAAACAGAAAATCTCAACAGAGGTATAACAAATAAAGAGATTGATGGGGTGCCTGGGTGGCTCAGTTGTTAAATGCCTGCCTTTGGCTCAGGTCATGATCCCAGGTGGGATCGAGCCCCGCATCGGGCTCCCTGCTCGGCGGGAAGCCTGCTTCTCCCTCTCCCACTCCCCCTGCTTGTGTTCTCTCTCTCGCTGTCTCTCTCTCTCTCAAATAAATAAATAAAATCTTAAAAAAAAAAACAAATAAAAAGATTGAATCAGCAATCAAAATCCCAACAAAGAAAAGTCCAGGACCAGATGGCGTCACTGGTGAATTCTACCAAATACTTAAAGAAGAATTAATACCAATCCTTCTCAAACTCTTCCAAATCATTGAAGATGATGGAACACTTCCTAACTCCTCAGTGAGGGCAGCATTACCCTGATGCCAAAGCTAGATAAACACATCACAAGAAAATTACAGACCAATATCCCTTATGAATATTGATGTAGAAATCCTTAACAAAATACTAGCAAACTAAACCCAACAGCATATTAAAAGGATAACACATCATGACCAAATGGAATTTATCTCAGGAATGCAAGGTGTTCAGTTTAAGAAAAACCAATGTGAGGGGCGCCTGGGTAGCTCAGTTGGTTGGGCGACTGCCTTCGGCCCAGGTCATGATCCTGGAGTCCCAGGATGGAGTCCCGCATCGGGCTCCCTGCTCAGCGGGGAGTCTGCTTCTGCTTCTGACCCTCTCTCCTCTCGTGTTCTCTCTCTCATTCTCAGATAAATAAATAAAATCTTTAAAAAAAGAAAAAGAAAAACCAACATGATACACCGTATTAACAGAAGAACGAAACACACGCGCGCACACACACAAATTATCTCAATTGATGCAGAAAAGGCATTTGACAAAATCTAACATCTTTCATGATTTAAAAAAACACTAGAAAACCAGGAATAGAAAGGAATTTCCTCAACATAATAAAGAGAATCTACGAAAAGTCCACAACTAACATCATACTCAATGGTGAAAGACTGGAAGCTTTCCCCCCAAGATAGGGAACAAAACAAGCATGCCAGATTTCACTTCTGCTACCCAACATTGTACTGGAAGTTTTAGCCAAATCAATTAGACAAGAAATAAAAGGTATCCCAACTGGAAAAGAAAAAGTAAGATGATCTCTACTCACATAGGACATGACCTTATAAATAAAATCCTAAAGAATCCACAAGAAAGCTATTAGAGCTAGTAAATGAATTTAGCTAAGTTGAAGGGGACAAGATCAGCACCAAAAAGAAGTGTGTTTTTATACACCTGCAGTGAACTATCCAAAAAGGAAATTAAGGAAGCAATTCCATTTATAACAGCACCTAAAGGAGTAAAATGCCTAGGAATAAATTTAACCAAGGAGATGAAAGGACTTATATTTTTGGAACCTACAGAACATCACTAAAAGAAAGTTAAAAAGACCTAAATAAATGGAAAGACATTTCACATTTTTGGGAAGAAGACTTAATATTGTTAAAGATGTCATACCCTAGCTGACCTACAGATTCAATGCAATCTCTCTCAAAATTCCAACAGCCTTCTTTGCAGAATGGTAACATTAATCTTCAAATTCATATGGAATTGCAGGAGCCCTGAAGAGCCAAAACAATCTTGAAAAAGAAGAACACAGTCAGACGGACTCACACTTTCTGATTTCAAAATTTACTACGAAGCTATAGTAATCACAACAATGTGGTACTGACATAAGGACAGACCAAAAAACCAATGGAATAGAATTAGGAGTCCAGAAATAAACCCATTCATCTATGGCCAACTGATTTTTATAACGGTGCCAAATCCACTCAATGTAGAAAACAGTCTCTTCAACAAACAGCGCTGGGACAGCTAAATTTCCACATGCAAAAGAATAAAGTTGGACCCCTACCTCATGCCATATAGAAACATTAACTCAAAATGGATCAGCAACCTAAATATAAGACCTATTACCATTAAACTCTTAGGAGAAAATATGGGGGTAAATCTTCATGAACTCAGAATTCGGCAATGGATTTAGATATGATGCCAGAAGCAAGAGCAATAAAAGAAGAAATAGATAAATTGGACATCAGCAGAACTTAAAACTTTTATGCATCAAAGGACACCATCAAGAAAGTAAAAAACAACCCATAAGATGGGGGAATATATTTCCAAGTCATATATCTGATAAGGGTTTAATAACCAGAATTTATAAAGATTTCCTAAAACTCAACAAGAAAGGGCGCCTGGGTGGCTCAGTCGGTTAAGGGTCTGCCTTCAGCTCAGGTCGTGATCCCAGCATCCTGGGATCCAGGCCCACATGGGGGGGGGGGGAGGTCCCTGCTCCGCAGGGAGTCTGCTTCTCCCTCTGCCCCTCCTCCTACTCATTCTCTCAGTATCTCTCTGAAATAAATAAAATCTTTTTTTTAAGATTTTATTTAGTTATTTGACAGAAAGAGACACAGCGAGAGAGGGAACACAAGCAGGGGGAGTGGGAGAGGGAGAAGCAGGTTTCCCGCTGAGCAGGGAGCCTGATGCAGGGCTCGATCCCAGGACCCTGGGACCATGACCTGAGCCGAAGACAGACGCCCAACGACTGAGCCACCCAGGCGCCCCTGAAATAAAATCTTTAAAAAAAAAAAACTCAACAAAAAAAAGACAACCCAATTTTTAAAAACAGTCAAAGGACCTGAATAAACATTTCTCCAATGAAAATATATAAATGAGCAATAAGCACATGAAAAGATGGTCAGTCAATATCATCAATCTCAGGGAAATGCAGACCAAAACGGCAGTGAGAAAGCACTTCACTCCTAATGGAAAAGCTATCCTATAAAAGTGGCAGGAGGGAAGAATCAAAATTAAATGAAAAATAACAAGTATTGGCAAGGATGTGGAAAAATCGGCAACTCCCACTTTGCTGGTGGAAATGTAAAA